TAGAATCAAATAAGGAGAAACTGGAGTTCATTGAATGGGAGAGTGACATTTGGGAAATTCACTCCGGTTGCTACAAACGATGGATCAGACAGGAGAGACCTCCCTGGGGCAGGGAGACCTTCCAGGAAGCTCTTGTAACAGTCCAGGCATGACGTGCTGAGGACCTGCATCATGGCAGCTGAGTCAGAGGAAGATACTATGGACATAGAAATGTCAGGATTTGGTGATGAATTGGTTATGTGGGGGGAGGAGCAAATGTGAAGCCAGAAAGATAATACCAAGGTAGAGAACCTAGGTGACTAAGGTGTAGGTCTACTCAACAGACATTGGGAAAATCAGAGCAGGGGTTGATTTGGGGAAAGCTTTAGCACATTCTGTGTTTGAAATGCTTCTGGGACATTGGGATTTAGGAATGGGGATGAATATGTAGAAGAGGACATTATTTACATTAAACCTAGGGAACTGGTGAAGTTACCAAGTAAGAGAGTGTACAGAAAGAATGGAAGAGGACCTGGGAGAGAACCTTGGGAAACACCCACAGTTGGTGGCTTCAGACACCTGAGCAGAACAAAGAAGCCTGAGGAGGACTAGAGCAGGGGTATGGGACAAAGCAGGAAAGGACAGTGTCACAGTAAACATGGAAAGGAAAGGGTGTCTAGAAGGAGAGGGTGGCCAGTGGTGTCAGATGAGTACTGAGGGGGAAAGAACATTTGATTTGTCCACTAAAAAAAAAAACACACTGATAACTTTGAGGAGAACAGTTTCAACTGAGTGGAGAGTGTGCAGGAGTTTGAGGACCTGGGAGACTGGAAAGATCATATTGTGTCCCACAGAAATAAGGACATTCAGAAGGGGATAGATTTGGGAGACCAGAACTAACTCCAACCTATTTATACCTGCTCATTCTGCACCATTCATTCTTTCTTGCTGAAATGACATGTGTATATTTGTGTTTGTGTTTGCACATGTGGTAACTTACAGACCATTGCACTAGAGTGCAGAGCCCTTTGCTACAGTGATCCAAGGGACAAGGGCTGTGGCCCCTGGGGAGGGTGGAATGTGGAAATTTGCCTGTTAAGCTGATGTAGGTGAATAGGTTTGGTTAGGGTGTGACCACACTGCAGGGTTGAAATCAGGTGCAGCAAGAGAAGGCCAGCTGTTAGAAGGGGGCAGAATGGGGGACTGAATGTGAAGGGGATGGTATCGTTGTATGGGAGATAAGCCAAGGATTGGCTTAGGGGGAAGATGGGGGGTGCATCTTATCTTACTGGGTTGGGATAAATCCATGGCCTCCATAGCCCCCACTTAGGAGACTAAATGGTTTCAATTGATCTTATTTTCTGCTTATTATGCTTTGCATTGGCTTAAATACATATTCCCATCTCTCTGTTCTTTTTATTTGTTATCATCACTCAGTAATATTGCATTTCAGTCGTAGACCACAGTTTGTTCAGCCATCACCTAATTAATGCGTAGTCATTTTATTTTTTTGTTCTTTGTTACTATAAAAAGTGCTGCCATAGAGAGGGGTATGTACATGAGACTTCCCTTTGTCTTTTACCACTTGCACATATATCCTTAGTACTGGTATCTATGGGTCAAAGTGTTTGTAGTCTGGTGATTTTTAGGAATAATTTCCTATTGTTTTAAAGAATGACTGGGCCAATTCATGGTTCTACCTAAAACAATCTCAATAATATTTCCCATTTTCATCCTTTGTCATCTTTGTAAATGTGATAGCTGTGAACTGGAACCACAGAATTTAAATTTGCACACCTCATATTTATTATTAGTGATTTAGAATAGGTTTTTATATGATTGTTGATCCCTTGCTTTCTCCTTTTGAATACTGCCCATTCACATCTTTTGACCATTTTTCTATTGAGGAATAGATCCCGTCCTTTTATATTTTTTATCAGTTTCCTATATATCTTGTGTATCAGATTGTTCTGAGATATATTTGCTGCAATGGTTCTCTCCTCATGCCCACCTGCCCCAATCAATGGCTTCTAACTCTATTGGCCTTGATCTTCATCACCTGTTTCTGTTTTATGTAATTGAAATTGTCCATTCCATGATCACTAATTCTCCTGCCAGCCATTGTTGTGTGAGGTACCTATTTCTAGTCTCTTAATTTCTTGGTGATGTTACCTTTTGCATTTAAATCATATATCCATTTGGAGTTTAGTGGGGAATATGTATTGTAAGATCCTGGTATGAACCTAATTTCTGCCAGGCCGATTTCCAATTTTTTTTGAAAGTTTTTGTTAAATGAAAAGTTCTTATTCCAGTAGGTGGTGTCCTTGAATTTTTTTTTTTAGCTTTAAGCTACTGGGTTCTCTTATTTATGGCTTTCACTGACCTAGTCTATTCCATTTTTTACCTATTTGCACTTTTCTGGTTTTCTGTTTTTTACCCACTATTAAATTGTTTTTATATCTTCTGCTTAATGGTATATTTTTTCTATCTAATAATGTTAGATTATTGACCTTTTTTCTCTAGATCAACCTTGTTATTATTTTGTACAGTTCTATAAAATAACACCTTGGTAGTCTGGTATGGCACTAAATCTGTGAATGAATTCATTGAGATAATATCTTCATCATTATTATATTCCTTTGGCCCAACCATGAACAATTATCTCTCCAATTCTTTAAGTGTTGATTTCTATAAAGAGCGTTTCAGAGTTACAGTCATATAAATCTTGAACATAGGTAGATTCCAAGATTTTTTTAAAAAACATTTTTAGCTGTTTGGAAGGGAATTTACTTTTCTATCTCCTCTTGTTGGGTTTTGTTAGTAATATGTAGAGAATCTGATAATTCTGCTGTTTTAAAGTTTCGGTGATCTTTTATGTTGATGTTAGCTTTTTAGGATTCTATAAGTAAGTAACTATATCTCCTGTAAAGAGATATTTTTCCTCCTCTTTGCTCATATTTATTTCCTTACTTTTTCTTGTCTTATTCTCTGTACCTAAAATTTCTGGAGCTATATCAAATTATAATGCTGGCATTTGATATATTTACTTTATTCCCAATCTTATTGGCAAGGCTTCTAGTATGTCTCAGTTACAAATAATGCTAGCTCTTAGAGTTAGATAGATACTATTTATCATGTAAAGGAAAGGTTCACTGTATTCCTGTATTTTTAGTACTTTTTACTTCTATTAACACAATCATGTGATTTTTTTTAATGCTTACAATACCTGTAACTTTCCAAACAAAAGCATTGCTCCCTGTCTATGCTTTCCATATATATGTTGTCTCCCCTGTTTGAACGTAAGCTCCTTGAGTGCAGGGCTTGGCAAACACAAAATGCTCAATTAACACTTGTTAAAAATTCATTCACTTAGTTAGGAATGTGATTTGTTATGTTTATGATTTCCCTAATGCTGAGCCATCCCTGTGTTTCTGATATAAATCCATCTGGGTCGTAGTGAATCATCTTTGGAATTACACTAGATGGCTCCTGATGTCCTTTCCAAAGGGAAAATTCTGTGACTATTGTTTTAAATTCATTATTAGTATTTTGTTCAATATTTTAAAAATCAATATTCATTAGTGACATTGGTCTATAGTTTTCTTTTTCTATTTTATATCTCCTTGGTTTAGGTTCTATCAGAATCACATTTGTCTTATAGAAATTTGGTGACTATCTTCTATCTCTGTTTAGGAATTTATGTGAGGTTGGAGTTAATTTTCTTTGAATGTTTAATAAAATTCACTTACAAGTCCATTTATACTAGGACATTTTTTCTTGGGGAGTTCATTTATATTTTGTTCAATTTTTGCATCTGAGATTGTATCATTTAAATATTAATTTCTTATTCTGTTAATCTGGTTATTCCATATTTTTGTAAATATTCATCAATTTCATTTAAGTTTTTGGTGTCATTGGCCAATATTGTAGTAAAATAATTCCTAACAACTTCCTTTATTTCCTCTTCATCTATTGTGAATTTTCCTTTTTCCGTTTGTTAATTTGGTTTTCCTCTCTTTTGAACAACTAAATCAGTTGGTGTTTTGCCTATTTAATTAGTATTTTTATAAAACCAGCTCTTAATTTTTATCAACTCAATGACTTTTCTCTTGTTTTAAAATTTATTTATGTCTTTGGTTTTTAGAATTCATATTTTTATGTGTTACTTTTCTAGTGTTTGTTTTTAAGCTACATGCTTAATTCACTGATACTTTCTTGCTCTCTTTTGTTGATGAAATTGTTTAGAAAAATAAAATTCCCCTTAAGGACTGCTTTGGCTGTACCTGAAAAGTTTTGGTATGCTCTCTTACTGTTATTTATTATTCCTGTGATTTGTCCTTTGGCCTACTCATTCTTTAGCATTCTATTATTTAGTCTTCATGTGAGTATGAATCCTTTTTTCAAACTCCTTTTGCTGATTATAATCTTATTATGTTGTGATATATGGAGTAAGTTTGTAAAGTTTCTTCTTTTCTTCTTTGTTTATGGTTCTTCATGTCCTAGCACATAATCAGTTCTTGTAAGGGTGGGATGCAAAGCTGAGACACGTGTATATTCCTCTTGATTCCCAGCCAGCAACTGCTAGAGTTTGACCATATTCACTTTCCTTAAAATCTCCTCCAGACCCTGAATTTCTTTCTTATCTTTCTGTTAGGCTTGTCTCGGTCTGAAATGGTCATATTGGAATCCCCATTAATTATCGTTTTACTGTCTCATTAGTTCAGGACTCTCCCAAACCGTCTAGAATGAAGCCATTCCCTGTCCCAAGGCCTTTCCCAGCTCTGACATGCCCTGTTCTCAGGCCCCTCCCAGCCCTGACATCCCCTGTTGTAAGGCTTTTCCCAGCTCTGACATTCCTTGTTCTAAGAACCTTCCCAGCCTTGACATCCCCTGTCCTGAGACCCCTCCCAGCGCTGACATTCTGTCCAGGATTATGGATGAGGTGGGTAGCTGCACCCCGAGACACTTGACTTTGGCCCCTCAGAGTTCTCATTCTCTGCTCTCTCTGTTTCCTCCCACAGGCCTTGGGCACCATTGCAGCAGTACCCATTAAAGTTCCTCAGGTCAGCTCCTTGCACAGGTTGGCGGGGCAAGGACCAGCAGCGCTACCTCAGGTAAAGGGAGGAGACTTTCTTTTTGTATGTGTATTTTCACCCTTTCCCTCGATGGCCACCTTGGTGATGGGACCCCTCACCCTGTAGCCTCTGGGAGTCACCCTGCTCCTGTCTTTTCCCTGGAACCTTGGGGAATGGGGGTTATACCCAGACTTTGCCGTATCAAAGGGGATAAGAAAGGAGCTGGACCCTCCATGATGCAGCAGATGAGCTGAGAAAGCCCAGCAAAGGCTCTGAGGTGGAAGTGTTGCCAAGTGGACTGAGCCAAGACTCACCAACACCAACCCTTTCCTTTGCAAAGGAGGACACTGAATCTGGAGTGGAGAAGTCACTTAGTGTCACAGTGCGCCCAGTCACAAAGCCTGGATTTACACTTTAGGGTCCTCTCTCCTTTATGCCAAGCTGTCCCCAGGATGGAGGGGGAGAGAGGGAGATTGAAATGAAGATGGCTCCCCTTAGGAGCTGAAGGGACCTTCAAGGTAACTTATAGAGGGGACATAGAAGGAAGTTGAGGTTCAGAGAGGCAAAGCAAATGCCCTCTGGTCACACTGTCAGAGCTGGATCCAGATGGAGGGCTTCTAATTCCAAATCGATCACTCTCTTCATGGTGTCCCCATCTAATGTTGTCTGGTCCCCGTGACCAGACTGGCCCCCTAGGAATGGGCATCTCCCTCCTCCACCCCTATCCTGGGGGATGGCTTGTAGGCTTTTGAAAGGGACATGTGGGCTGCCCATGGCAGATTCTGTACCCACAATGTCACATCTGTTTCTTCTGCTCATCACCCATGAGAACCCTGACCTGTGACTCCAGCCACATCTGTAGTCCTGGAGGCTGTGTGGGTATGGATGTGGCTATGAGCATGTACATGCATGTGCTCATGTGTCTATGTGGGTGTGAGGGTGTGTATTGGTGGGGAAAGGGCTGTTGGTAGATGTCTCCTCCTCTCAGATCCCTCCTGTAGTTGCAAGGAGCCAGAGGTGGCTCTGGGGACCCCTGCATTTAGGGCCTGGTCACCTATCCCATTCACTAGGTCCCTGCCCCTGCTTCTCACTTCTGCTGGGGAAGAAGCCTAATGTGATACAAACAAATTTGGGTGACAGGCTGGGAGAGCTACACTCTGAGGGCCTCCCAGGTCCCTCATTTTCAGTCCTGTGACTAGCTTTACAAGGAAAAAAATGTGAGACCCTGGACAAGTCATTTCCATACTCTGGACCTCAATTTCCTCATGTGGAAAATGGTAACATGAATTTCTGCCTTGCCTCCACTGCAAGGCTATCACAAGGCTCAAAGGAGACAATGTATGTAAGCACCCCTGTGCACCCATGGGAGCAGTGATGTTCAGACATATCTGACTTTACGTAACCCCGTGGACAGGTTTCCTTAGCAAGGATACTGGAGTGGTTTGACATTTCCTTGTTCAGTGCGTTCCCATTTTACAGAGGAAAAACTGAGGCAAATCAGGGCTAAAGGACTTGCCCAGGGTCACATAGCTAGTGTTTGAGGCTGGATTTGAACTCAAGTCTTCCTGACTCCAAGCCCAGTGCTCTATCCACTGTACCACCCAGCTGTCCAATGATGATAATACATCAGGTTTACAAAGAGCCTTCTCCACGACAGCCATGGGAAGTTGACAGCATGGCTTGAACCTGGTTATCTTGTTGCATAGTGGAAAGAGCCCCCTACCCACAACCAGCAGATCTGAGTTCAAATCCTAGCAAGCTGTGTGACTTTGGGCCAATTGCTCATCTGTAAAGGGAACAGGGTGGGCTCCCCAAGCCCTAAGATCTCAGTGCCTCTCAGTGCACAGTCCCAGTGTCCTGTGACTGCATTTTACAAGTGTGACGTTAAATCACTTGCCTGAGGTCGTCCAACCATCTCCAGCACAGCCCTGTGACTCTGTGTCCTTCATGATTCTGTCTCTCAGCCTCATGAGACACAGCAGCCCCATGAAAAGAAGACTGAGTCACTCTGGGCAACCAGTCACAAGCAGTTCATTAACTGTTGACTGCATGCCAAGCACTGGGGATGCTTAGCTCAAAAGGCAGCAGTCCCTGCCCTCAAGGGGCTTCCATTCTAATGGGGAGGGGGAGACAAAATGCACGTGTAGAAGCATGCGGAGTCTATGAGAAATGAATAGGAGCTAATGTGGGAGGAGGGAGAGGAGATGCCAGCTTTAGGGGCAGTCTTCCTGTAGAAGGAGGGATTTGAGGTGGGTCCTGAAGGACAGGAGGGATTCTGAGAGGCAGAGGTGAGGAGCGAGAGGCACTGAGATGGAGCCAGGAGCTAGTATTGCTAGATCATCGATTACATGGGGGGTGTCAAGTGTAAGAAGGCTGGCTGAATAGGAAGGAGATGAGTTGTGCAGGGCTTGAAATGCAAAAAAAAAAAAAAGTTTGCCTGTCCTATGAGAACGGGAGATTCTTGAACATAGGGACTCCCTCCCCCCTTTCCTTGTTTTCCTAGCCCTCAGAAACCCACTGGATACATAATAAGAACCAATGCTTATTGGCTAAATAGCATTTGATCCTAAATGTTAAAGGGAGTCCCATATTCAAGGCGTAATGGTTGGTACAGATACCCCTCTGTGCCAGGGGGATGGGGTAGTCAGGTGAGGCTGCCTGGAAGAGGGAGACTAGGGCTAGATCCTGAAAAATGGGGGGAAGAGAGGCTTCCGATCAACTGGAGGCTGGGAGAGATGTGTGCCCATTTGGTCACTGCATACTAATTGGGAAGATTTTCCTTGGAAAAAACCTCCAAGAATCATCCTGCTCCCTCCTACAGCTCTTGCCTGGAGTGGCACTGAGTTACAAATGATCGCCAAGTCACTTGGTGTGCTGTGGAATCACTGCTAAATAGGAAAACCAACAAATATTAATTATGAGATTGCTATTCAATGCAAACAGTAATTAGATCTTGAAGCCTCCCTGTCCCCATCAGCCGGCAGCCCCAGGAGTCCATTCTCAACAGCCCTGCTAAGCTGAGAACCTGAGAAGCAAAAATCCCAGCCTCAGACTCATGGCAGCAAAGGCTCTTGGGATCACACGTGCTTAAAGTCTGTGGCTCCTTCAGGCTTAGAATCATCAACTTCTCCCCTACCCCCATCCTGTCCCTAGAAACAGCCTCTGAGGATCACAGTCTTCAGGCAGAGACTCAGTGTCTTAGGGGACCACAGAGTCTTAAAGCAGAGACTCAGAGTCTTAGGGGACCACAGAATCTTTTTTTATTAATTTATTTTGATTTATCAACAATCACTTCCATAAGCTTTTGAGTTTTAAATTTTTCTCCCCTTCTCTCCCTGCCTCCCTCCACAAGACAGCATGCAATCTGATATAGGCTCTACATATACATTCCTGTTAAACATATTTTCACATTAGTGATGTTGTAAGTAGGAATTAGAACCAACAGGAGGAACCACCAGAAAGAGGAAACAAAACACAACAGAAGAAAAAAAATAGCAAATAGTCTACTTCGATCTGCATTCAAACTCCATAGTTCTTTCTTTGGATGTGGATAGCATTTTCCATTATGAGGCCTTTGGAGATGTCTTAGATACTTGCATTGCTGAAAAGGGCTAAGTCTATCAATATTAATCATTGAATAATGTGACTATTACTGTGTACAATATTCTCCTGGTTCTGCTCACTTCACTCAGCATCAGACTATACAAGTCTTTCCAGGTTTTTTTGAAGTCTGCCTGCTCATAATTTCTTATGGAACAATAGTATTCCATTACATTCATATACCACAACTTGTTCAGCCATTCTCAGTTGATGGACATCCTCTCAATTTCCAATTCTTTTTTTCTTTTTTTTTATTTCCAATTCTTTGCCACCACAGACAGAGCTGCTATAAATATTTTTGTACATGTGGGTCCTTTTCCCATTTGTATGATCTCTTTGGGATATAGCCCTAGAAGTGCTATTGCTGGGCCAAAGGGTATGCACATTTTTATAGCCCTTTGGGCATAGTTCCAAATTGTTCTCCAAAATGGTTGGAGCATTTCACAGCTCCACCAACAATGCATTAGTGTTCCAATTTTCCCACATCTTCTCCAATATTTATCATTTTCCTGTTTTGTCATGTTGGCCAATCTGATAGGTGTGATGTGGTACCTCAGAATTGTTTTGATTTGCATTTCTCTAATCAATAGTGATTTAGAGAATTTTTTCATATGACTATAGATGGCTTTAGTTTCTTCATCATAGAACTGCCTGTTCATACCCTATGACCATTTATCAATTGAGGAATGACTTGTATTTTTATAAATTTGACTTAATTCTCTATATATTTAGAAATATCCCTTATCAGAGACACTGGTTGTAAAAATTCTTTCCCAATTTTCTACTTTCCTTCTAATCTTGGTTGCATTGGCTTTATGCAAAAACTTTTCAATTTAATGTAATCAAAGTTACTGTCTCCTGTTCTCCATAAATCTGATAGGCAAACTATTCCTTGCTCTCCCAGTTTGCTTACAGTATCAGCCTTTATATCTAAATCAGGAACCCATTTTGACTTTAGTTTAGTGTATGGTGTGAGATTTTGGTCTATGTCTAGTTTCTGCCATACTCTTTTCCAGTCTTCCCAGCAGTTTTTTTTCAAAATAGTAAGTTCTTATCCCAGAAGCTGGGGTCTTTGGATTTATCAAACAGTAGATTACTATAGTCATTGACTGCTGTGTCTTGCATACCTAGCCTATTCCACTGATTCACTACTCTACTTCTTAGCCAGTACCAAGCAGCTTTGATGATTGCTGCTTTATGGGACCACGGAATCTTAAGGCAGGGACTTAGTGTCTTAGGACTGTGGAACCGCACATCTTTGGCTATAAAAGATAGCGACTGGGGCCATGGGGATTGACCTTTCCACATCTTAGGGACAGTTTGTGAATTATTGTGGTGGAGAAAAAAGCTGTCTGGTGGCTGGTCCTCTGTTGGGAGAATGTTTCCAAAATGACCCGGGCAGGTCCTTGGTGACCACCATGACCTGTGGGAAGGCCATGGCTTGAAGTTTGCATATTGTGAGCCATAGAATCACAGAACTGGGAAAGAGGGACTGTTTAAGTTTTGTATTTATATCCCCTGTGCCCAGTACAGTGCTTGGTGCTTGATAAATGCTTGTTGACTGACTGACATGGGTGTTTAATAAAAGCTTGTGGGTTTATTGATTAAAAGAAAGTCTATCAGAGGTGGGAGAAACTGAAAACATGATATATAAGAGGTGGGCCTTAGAGAACATCTAAGAGGTGGCACAGTGGATAGAGTGTTGAACTAGAGTCAGGAGGATCTGAGTTCAAATCTTGTTTCAGAAATTTAGAAGCTGGTTGAGTCTCTGTGCCTCAATTTCCCCATCTCACACAGCTCCTGGGAGGATCAAATGAGTTAGCATTTTCAAGGGCTATGGAAATTCCAGCTCTTCTTCATCATCACCTAGTCCAGTCCTCTCATTTTCTAGATGAGGTAACTGAGGCCCTGAGATTTGCCTTAGGTCACTTAGAGTCAGGATTTGAATCTGTCTGGCTTCCTGTCTCCTGCTCTGCCACCTTGAGGAGATAGCTGGTGGCTTTGGGATGGAGTACTGGTCAGGGCTACATGTGTTCAAATTTGGCCTCAGACTTGTATTAGCCATGTAGTCCTGGGAAAGTCATTTGCCCTCTGCCTGCCTCAGTTTCCTCAACTGGGAAATGGGGATAACAACAGCACCTACCCCCCAGGGTTGTTCTGAAGCTCAAATGAACTAAATATTTGCAGAAAGCCATTTGCTCAGTGTCTGGCACATTCTAGGCACTTAATAAACTCTTACTTGCTTTCCTTCCATTCCTACCCGCTGCCTTGTCCTTTGGACAAAGCTCTGAGCCCCCAAGAACCTCCTCACAGTTCCCAGCCTTGGCCACAAGGGGGCAGGCAGCCCTCAGCCTTTGGCTGCTCAGTGGTCGCTGTCCACAGAGGCTAGGTCCTGCCAGTAAGGAAGCGGAAGCTTGTGAGCCTCACAGTGCTGTGGGGAGAGCAGCCTGGCTGGGCCGTTGGGCAGAGCGGTCGTGGCCCAGAAGGCTGCAGCTCCATCAGCACTTTGTCAGAGCACCACGGGATTGCTGAGATCAGCACTGCTTGTCGAGGCTGGGAGCAGAATGCTGCCACAGCTTTGGTAGCGGGCTTGGTAAGGAGCTGGAAAGGCTCCCAGGGAGTTCAGAGCACTGTCCGGACAGCGTCTGGCCCAGCCTGAGAATCCAGACTGCTTGGTTCTTCCACTCTTCTGCCGAGTCACTCTGTGACCCTGGGCCAACTGTTTCCCTCCTCTGGGACTGTTTTCTCTTCTGTAAAAGCGAGCAGGTGAGGACCAGGCATTTTCTGAGATCCCTCCCTCTTTGAGGTTTCCATGTTCTAAGGTCCCTGGACAGGACCTTCTCCTTTTCAGTACTCACGTCACTCAAAAACCAAAACTGTGGTTAAATGCACCCTCTCCACAGCTTGGCTCCCTGGCCTCGGGAAAGCCGCTTCCCCTCTGTGGGCCTTACTTTTCTCCTCTGTAAAAGGAGGGGATTTGACAAGATAAGTTCAAAGGCTCAAATGCGATCTCCTTGGTAAAAAGCACTTAGCACAGTGCCTGGCACATAATAGGTGCTATAGAAATGCTTCTTTCCTCCCTCCGAGGCTCCTGTCAACCCCAAGCTCTGGCTTTGTTAATCTGTAGAGATTGGCTGCATCTGGGAGCATGGTCCCTTCCCAGACCCACCAGCACCCTCGAGTGTCTGGTGGTTCCCAGGGCATGGCCTGGGTCACACCTAGGGTCCCTCTGCCTCCTGCCTGCTCTTCTTCTGCTCAGATGTTCCTCCCTGGCCCCAACCCTCTAGAGTATGTCTTTTTTTGCAAGTCATTACTAATGATTACTAAAACCAAAGTTTTATTGTTAATAATATTAAGTCAGATTCATGGGGGGTTACTTCCCAACACTGGCCCTCTGAAAGTGGGGGTTGCAAAGGTCATTGTCACTGTGGGAGCCATTGGGCCCAGAGGAGAATGTGAGGGACTGAGAGGCAGGAAGGCCTGGGTTCAAGTGTGACTTCTGGTGTTTGTTAGCTCTGTGGTCCTGGTCAGGACCCTTGACCTCTCTGAGATCTGCTACTCTATAAAATGGGTGTTGCATTGATGACACTCCCTTCCTCATCAGGCTCCTGTGAGGCTCAGGCAAGAGTTCGGTGAAGATTAGGTTTAGGATAAAGTGCTTTACAAACTTGTTTTGTTTTTCCTTTGCTATTATTACTTTGTGGAATCATGATGTAATTGGTATGGGGCACTCCCCACTAAGGAGGTGGTAGACTAGATCCCCCTAACAGTCTGTATTCTGATGCCCGCCTTGCTCTGACATCAATAGCATCGGGCAGGCTGGCCCCCCAATCCATCAGGCAAATCACAGCCAGAGTAAGGTCTTTCATGTAAACCAGGCCCTGCTATTTTCTGCTACAAACTCATCAATGACTCCCAATGTTCCCAATCAATCAGAAAACATCTATTAAGTGTCTACTGTATGCCAGACATGCTCTGGGGACTGGGGATGCGAGCAAGTATAAAGAATGAAGCAATCTCTAGCTACAGGCAGCTTACACTCTTGGGCAGCTGGGAGGTGCAGTGGAGGGACCTCTGGGTCTGGTGTCAGGAAGACCTGAGTTCCAATTCCACTTCAGACATCTATCATCTATCTGACCCTGGGCACATCACAATCTCTCTGGGCCTCCATTTTCTTATCTATAGAGACAAGAGTAACACTTCCTTCATAGGGTTGTTGTAAAGTTCAGATGAATTAACCTAGGGGAAAGTGCTTGTCAAGCCTTGAAGCTCTGTATAAATGTGCACTGTTATTATTCTAAGGGAGCAGACAAGCAGAGACTAAACATAAAGAGAATGAGCAAAGTAGCTGTACCCCAGGCAGTTTGGGAGAGAGGGAGGGGGAGCACACGGGAGATCAAGATGGGGGTTCATGCACAAGGTGGGGCTTGAAGAAAGAGGGGAGCTCTGGGAAACTGAGGTGAAGAGGGGGTGCCTTCCTGGTGTGAAGGATGGCCAGTGCAAAGGCTTGGAGATGGGAGATCCCTGTGTGAGAAGCCCCAGATGGGCCAGTGTGGCAGGATCACAGAGTTCATGCAGAACAGTTTGGGAGAGAGGAAGAAGGGGAGGAGGGATAACAAGAGATGAGGATTTGGCTGGATCAGAGGAGGAAGGAACGTCCAAAGAGTTGGTTGGGGTGTCCCAGGGAGATTTCAGGCTCTTGCCTGCCATTCAAGGACCTCCACGAGCTGGCGCCACCCTCCCCTCTGCCTATTCATGTCTCCCACCCAGGCTGAATGACTGTATCCCTTTAGCATCCCTTGTACTCTCCAGCCTCTTTGCCTTTGCGCCTCGGTTCCTGACTCCTGAACTGCCCTCTCTGCCTTGGTCCGGACCTTGTTGGCTCCTGTTGGCCCCTTGACAGGTGCTTACAAATGCAGAATGCTTTGTTGATCTACTCCCATGGGTGAGTATGGCTCTCCCTTTCCCCAGGTCAGGCCAAAGACCCTGATTCCCGACAGCCTTCCCATCTCCCCATGCCGAGAGCGCCCATCCAAGCAGACACCAAGCTTCCAGAAGGCCGCCGTCATCAGCATCAAAAACCCCAGCCCGGCCCTCCCCACTGCCAACAACACCGTCAGCCAACCTGTGGTGGAGCCGGCTGCCCTCACCTCCCCCCTGAGTGGGGCTGGGGTCGCCTACGCCATCATCTCCACGTCCCCCAGCAATGCTGCCTCTCCCATCAAACCCAGCTCTGCCACTGCCAGCGCCGCTGCCACCGTCTCCATGGTCAGAGACAGCATCAAAGTCCAGCCTCTCCTCATCAGTGCCGACAACAAGGTGAGTGAGTCCTGGCCGCATGTGGAGCCCTGCTCGCCTGCTTGGGGGGCCACAAGGGGGAAGGAGCCTGGGGGATGTGGGCTGAAGGGCAGAGGGGTCAGAGATGCAATACTGAAAGAGGACCAATTGGGAGCTGTCCTGGGTTCAACTTCTGCCTGAAGTCTAAGATTGTGTTTTAGTTCTGCTGAATAAAGAAAGCTGAGCACATTTTCGTACACATAGATGCAGGGTTGAAGAGGTCACATCTTGGGGATGTGATGTGTTCAAGAGAGGCTTGTACTCACGATGTTGTGCCACTATGAATACAGACCTGTCCCAAGCATAGAGAGTGCAAGCCTAGAGCCTAGAACAGTCAGAGCGGGATGGTGGGTGGGCCTTAGACTGGACAGTATAAGAGCCATGAGGTCTTAGAATTCACCCCATCATGGAGGTCCTTGCCTTCCTTCCAGGTCATCATCATTCAGCCTCAAGTTCAGACCCAGCCCGACAGCAAGGCAGAGGCAGCAAAGCCTTCAGAAGAGTTGTCTCAGGGAGCCCAGGCCTCTAAAAAGAAGAAAGAGGCAGCTCCTGATGTCCCGGAGAATCCAGAGGTCAGGGGGCTACAGGCTGTGTCAGGGAGCTCCTCCTCTTCCTCCCCACCCCTACTGGAGTCACCAGGAAGACAGGGAGGAGGGTGGGAGGCTGAGACTGCCAAGTTCTGTCCCCCTCCCCCCATGCCTGACCTCCTCACTTCTGAGTCATCAGGCTGCTGACTACCCTCTCAAGGGAGCTCCAGGAGGAAGGGCTCTGACACCTGCTGGAGCCAGGAACAGACTTGGCAGTCACCAGTGCTTGGATCAGCAGAGCCCCTCCCTCCTTTCCTTGCCTGTGGCCCCTGGTCCCCTGTAAAGTCCCCCCCCTTACAAGCTGGCAACTTCGAGCCAATGAGGGAATCGTTCTTGGGGAATCGTTGCCCTCTTTCCCTAGCCTGGGGGCTCCCTCTTCCAGAGCACATCACAGAACCTCTGTGACATGGGGACAGATGTGGAGGGTCCCTGTGTCCCCACAGGTTGTCACCCTGCAACCAATCAGGGGATGCCCATGTTGGAACTTAGCTAGATTCCTTTTCTAGGTGTTAGGCCCTGCCAGCCAGGGTCTAGGACCCCAACCAGCTCTGACCTTCCCTGTCCTAAGGCCCCTCCCAGCTCTGACATCCCTTGTTCTAAGGCCCTTCCCAGCTCTGACATCCCCTGTTCTAAGGCACCTCCCAGCTCTGACATCCCCTGTCCTAGGACTCCTATCAGCTCTGACATCCCCTGTTCTAAGGGCCTTCCTAGCCCTGACAATCCCTGTTCTAAGGCCGCTCCTGGCTCATCAGGGTTTTATTGGCCTCAGAACTGATTCATCCCAATGTCTCCCAGGCTTGTTGGTTATCAAGGTTTGGGAGGGGGTTGGGGGCGGCTGCCAGGTCATCATTGATCTTATGGTGATCAAGTCTTGCCTCAGGCCTTTTTTCCCTCCTACATCCTGAACCTTCAGGGAAAGTTCCTGAACCAGTTTTCTTTGTTTCTTTAAATTCTGGTTGATTATTGTGCATGTATACAATTAGTGTAATTACAGCTAATGACATAATTAGTGTAAATTCATTTAATGGCTTAAATAGAACTTGCAATTACAACATGGAATGGCCTTGTAAAAATCCTTATGAAAGTTTCTTTTTCTGAGGGATCTGTGCACTCTATATATGTGTGCAAAAAAGAGGGACAGAGACAGAGATAGAGAGAGATACAGAGAGACAGAGAGAGAGACAGAGACAGAGAGAGGAGAAAGACAGGCAGAGAGACAGAGAGAGAGAGAGAGAGAGAGAGAGAGAGAGAGAGAGAGAGAGAGAGAGAGAGAGAGAGAGAGAGAGAGAGGGAGGGAGGGAGGGAGGGAGGGAGAGGGAGAGGGAGAATGAGAGAGAGGAGTGAGGAAGAGCTGGAGAGAGAGAGACAGAGAGAGGAGAAAGATGTTGAGAGAGGTGAGTTGAGGTGGGGGTGGCTTTGGGGATTTGAGAGCAGTTAATGAAGAAATGAATTGGAGAGCCCTCCAAAGACAAGGCTAGAAACATGGCTTCAGGATCCTATGGAGAAATGCTGCTCAGCTGGAGACACACGCTTTGTCCAGCTGCTGCCTTTGAGCAAGCCTCGCTCTTGGGCCCTTGATACCACTGCCCTACTGGACATTCTGGAGCTTCTAGATTTGCTGGCACTTCCCCCACGTCCTCACAATGAGCCAGCCAGTGTGATCAGCCTTGTCCTTACTGTGCAGAGAAGACCTCAGCCCTGAGAGAGGCCGAGCTGTCTGTGCTAGGCCACACAGCAGCTTCTCAGGAGGATAATCCCAGGTTCTTCCTGAAGTCGAGCTCCAGTCTGACCACACTGTGTCTGATATAATGATTCTCTGGGGAATTTGTGCTCCTTTGTCAGGCATTGAAGGTGTTCCCCAAGAGGCCTTCCCTTTCCTGGTGCGTCTCCTGTTCTGTATTTTGGGGAAGTCCCTGTTAAGGTGTCTACCCTCATAGATCCCCCACATGCTCTCCAAGTTCTCTGAAATCTCATTTCCAATCTCAGCACTATTGGAGTGCTATCCCAGAGGGTCTTCCCCCCCTCCGATCCCTCCCCACTCCAGCTCATCTTCCCCTCAGCTGCTGCAGTAACTTTCCTTAAGCTCAGATTTGGCCACATCCATTCCCTGCTCTGTAAAGGCCAGTGGCATTGCTGCAGGACGACATAGACGCTCTTCCGTTTGGCATCTAGGGCTCTTCATGAGCCGATGCCAGCCCTCCCTTTGCAGCCTCCTTGAACATTATTCAGCCACGTCCATGCTGTGGTCCAACCAAAGTGGCCATGATGCTTCTGTACCTGCTAAACCTCCCCCTCCTCCTCCCCCCATCCTGGGGAAGCTCCTCTCCCTTCAAACTACTTGGAATCATTGAGACAGCTCCAGTGCCAACCCCCCTCTAACCATGATGGGGGACCTTCCCAGCCTCTCCCCCAGCCAACAGTGCCTTCTGCAGCCCCCAGAACACCTGGTGTCTGCTTTTTACAGCTTCTTACATACCTATGTGTTGTCTCCTGTTAAAGTATAAGCTCTTTGAGGGCAAAAGCTTTTTGACTTTTGTCTTTGATGCCCTTAGCATAGCATGCCTGGCACATAGTAGGTGCTTCAAAGGTCTTTGTTGGTTGATTGATCTACTTTTCAGTAGAAGTGGAGACCATGGCCATGGCTCTCTCCAGGGCTTTTCCACCTCCACGTTTTTTGTGCACAGTGTGCACCATACTCAGCTTGCCACCCCCACCTCCTTCTTTCCCTCCTCTCACCTGTGGATTCCCAGGTGGAATGTTCAAGCTGGGGACAAGTGTCCACTTAAACAAATAAATACCCCTCCAGTACAGGGTTCCTTCAAGGTCTGGGTATGAGAGCATGTGGCCAAACTGATTCTTCTTCATGTGTTTCTTCCCCTCAGAAAATCGCCTTCATGGTGGCCTTAGGCCTGGTCACAGCAGAACACCTGGAAGGTAAGATGCCTTGGCTCAGTGGGCCGGGCCACAACAGGGAGGACTTCCTGTATCTAGACAGGGGCTTGGTGGCATAAGCAGGCTGAGGATGACCCTGATGGTCAGGGCAGACCTCAGGTAGCTGGTGGGACCCCAGGCAAGCCCATCCCCTTTCTAGGCCACAGTTTCCTCCTTTTTGCAATGAGAAGGCTCAGCCAGCTGACTTCCAGTCCTCACAATCCACACAGAATCAGAACACCTCAGAATCGGAAGAGAGCTCAGCAGCCTTCCAATCTGGCTTGTGGCCCCCAAAGAACCCCTCCTCCAGCCAACCGGACTGATAGACATCCAGACCTTGCTTAAGGACCTGGGGGGGGGGCATGAGTCACTAAACCCCACAGTGCAATGTAGTCCAACAAACATGAAATGCGTACTGTGTGCAGAAACCTCTGGGGGGTGGGGGAGGTAGGAAACTCAGAGGAGCTAGAGCCCTGCCCTCTTGGAGCTTTCCATCTAGGAGACTGTATCACAAATAGCTCCACTATATCTCAGCCTCTGAGGGGACAAACCAAGTGTCCCAGCATGGGGGACAGCATGAGCAAAGACTTGGAGGCTGGAGAGAGGGGAAGAGAACTGTGAAAGAGAACACTGGTCACCCCCAATGGTTCCTCCCCTTGTGATGAATCATGTGAGGACAGTAGGCACTGTCAGCAGGAGTGGCAGCAGATTATGAAGGCCAGTGCCAGAAGCTGCCCACCTGGAGCACAGGTGGCATTTCCATCCCTTCTACCCATTGGAAGCATTGAGGGCATTGTCAGGCAGAGGGGAATATTGGGGCAGCTGGTTTCCAAAGGCAGGTTCTGGATTCAGAGACTGAGGCTTAGAATATGCTAGCCATGCTGGGCTCGAGGCCAGGGAGAGATCGCAGAGAGAGAACAATGCATTTATCTGACATCTTCCTGACTTAATCAGAAGGTGAAGGTGAAAAGGAAGGGGGAGGTGGGTCACTACTGATGTTTGCCTATCAAGCCAGATGCTACAGAGAGCATGGGGGAAGAACACTGGGAGATATGCTCAGTAATTCAGAGGAAGCAAAGTCCCATGACAGCAGTTGCCCATGACATCCATGGCCTCACACATCCACATACCAAGGATGTCATAAGGTACGGTGACAAGTAAGGTGAAACGGAAGTTCTTCTGAAACCTGGTGAGACTAGACCCAGATCTGGAGTATGGCTCTGGGAGGATGTGCCATGGTCAAGGGAGAATCCATGCAGGGTTGGATGGTAGTGTAGCTGGGTAGGTTGAGGAGATACATTTAGGTGAGGAAATCCAGGAAGCATCAGGAGAAGCATGGGGAAAGTGTAAGGGAAGGTCAATGAAGGGAGAGACAGAAGGGATCTTTTTATGGGAGTGAACTAAAGACCATCTAGGAAGAAATCCTGGCACTTGGGAAATGGGTCACAATGCTGCTCTTGACAAATGGTCATTGATTGATTGATTGATATAATAGTGATGGAGGACTTCTGTCAGCTGGACGTTTGCCAGAGCTCTCTGTCTCTGTCTATCCCTTGTTCTCTGTCTCTTTTTCTGTCCCTATGATTAGGTCCCTCTCTTCTCCCCCCTTTCTCTCTCTCTCTCTCTTTGCCTCTCCATCCTTCCCTGTCCATTTCCCTCTCTCTGTCTCGGTCTGTCTCTCAGCCAATATTTTCTTTGTTCTCCTTAATCCTTAATTCTTCCAAATATGAAGAAAGAGCTAAGATGACTTGTTCCCAGGCACCTGATGCTCATCAACAAGGAGAAGGGGGTAGTTCAAGTAGAAATGATGTGACTCTTGGAGGGAAAGGGTAATTGCACTTCCTAATTCATGACAGAGTAGTAGAGGAAGCCATGCCTTTGACATACCCTGGCTGTATGACCCCGGGCAGGTCACCTAACCTTTCAGGATTTGAGACCAATGACTTATAAGACCACAGATGAACATTGTCTAGGTTTGATTGTATTTTTTTTTTTTACCTTGGTAAACACTTCCCAATCACATTTTAATCTGGTTCTGGCTGCACTTGGGAGCTTTGCCGGTAGCGGGGCTGGGGTGGAGTCTGACCCCTCAGGCCTAGGCAACTTCCAAGACAATAATCCTCAGGGAAGGTGCTGAGGGCAGGGAGATTCTCCCCGACCTCAGTGAAACTAGAGGTAGGTCTAGTCCCTATACCTATAATTCACAGACTTCAGGGAAAGGATAGGTAGGGTTCCATGTACTAAAAATAGACTGGGAAAGTCACCTCAGGAATGAATGAACTTCATTGGACATCTTGAGAAAGAAATTTCATATATATAAATATATATGTATATATGTATGTATGTATAATTGACGCATGCATAATTTATAGCATATTGCTTGCCTTCTCAAGGGGCGGGTAAGGAGCAGGACTGGGGGAGAGAATTTGGAACTCAAAAAATTTTTTTTTCCATATGAATCAGTCTATTAATATTATCTCAATTGCCTTTTAGAAGTAATCATTAAGTCCATTTTTACAGGCTTTTCATACCTTCCCTTTTAAAAATAATATTTTTTGTTGGAGAAGATGTGGGAAAATTGGAACACTAATGCATTGTTGGTGGAGTTGTGAAATGATCCCACCATTTTAGAGAGCAATTTGGAACTATGCCCAAAGGGATATAAAAATGTGCATACCCTTTGACCCAGCAATAGCACTTCTAGAGCTGTATCCCAAAGAGATCATACAAATGGGAGAAGGACCCACATATACAAAAATATTTATAGCAACTCTGTTTGTGGAAATTGAGAGGATGCTCATCAATTGGGGAATGGTTGAACAAGTTGTGGTATATAAATATAATGGAATGCTATTATGCTATAAGAAATGATGAACAGGCTAACTTCAGAAAAACCTGGAAAGACTTGTATGGTCTGATGCTGAGTGAAGTGAGCAGAACCAGGAGAACATTGTACACAGTAGCAGCCATGTTATGTGATGACTAATGTAGATAGACTTAGCCCTTCTCAGTAATGCAAGGATCCAAGACATCTCCAAAGGTCTCATGATGGAAATTGCTATCCACATCCAGAGAAAGAACTACGGAGTTTGAATGCAGATCGAAGCATACTGTTTGCTCTTTTTTTCTATTTTGTTTTGTTTCCTCTTTCTGGTGGTTCTTCCTATGGGTTCTAATTCTTCCTTAAAGCATGACTAATGTGAAAATATGTTTAATAAGAATGCATATGTATAGCCTATGTCAGATTGCATGCTGTCTTGGGAAGGGAGGAGGAGAAGGAGGGGGAGAAAAATTTAAAACTCAAAAGCATATGGAAGTGATTGTTGAAAACTAAAAGCAAATAAATAAAAGAAAATGAAAACAGTGTTTTATTTTTCCCCAGTTATATGTAAAAACAATTTAATGGTTTTTTTTTAATTTTGAGTTTCAGTTTCTCTCTCTCCTTCCTTCCCCTCCCCCAGCCCTGAGACAGTAAGCAATTTAATATAGGTTATACATGTGCTGTTATGTAAAACACTTCCACAGTAGCCACGTTGTGAAAGAAAACACAGACCCAAAAAATTCATAAAAAATGAAGAAAGTGAAACAATTTGGCTTTGATCTTCATTCAGACTCCATCAGATCTCTCTCTGGAGGTGGATAGCATTTTCATCACGAGTCCTTCAGAACTCTCTTGGATTGCTGAGTATAGCCAAGTCATTTGCAGTTGATCGTCGTACAATATTGCTGTTACTGTGCACACTGTTCTGGTTCTGCTCACTTCACACAGGAGACTCAAAAAAATTTAAGTGAATGTTAAATTTTTTTAAATTTAATTGGGAAATATTTAATTAAACAAATAGAAAATATTTTTTAAAGGAATGAAATTTCTTTTTTTAATTAATTAATTCATTTTTAGTTTTCAACATTCACTTTCATAAGATTTTGAGTTCCAAATTTTCTCCCCATCTCTCCCCTCCTACACCCCAAGACGGCACGCGATTTGATATAGGCTCTACATACACATTCATATTGAACCTATTTTCACATTAGTCATGTTGTAAAGAATTAGAACCAATGGGAGAAACCAGAAGAAAAAAGAAACAAAAAAAAAAAAGAAAAGAAAAGAAAAAAGAACAAAGAATATGCTTTGATCTGTATTCAGACTCCATAGTTCTTTTTCTGGATGTGGATAGCATTTTCTAGCATGGATCCTTTGGAGTTGTCTTTGATCCTTGCATTACTAAGAAGAGATGAGTCTATCAAAGTTAGTCATAGCAGAGTGTGGCTGTTACTGTGTACAACGTTCTCCTGGTTCTGCTCACTTCACTCAGCATCAGTCCATACAAGTCTTTCCAGGTTTTTCTGAAGTCTGCCTGCTCATCATTTCTTATAGCGCAATAGTATTCCATTACATTCATATACCACAACTTGTTCAGCCATTCTCCACCTGATGGGCATCCTCTCAATTTCCAATTCTTTGTCACCACAAAAAGAGCTGCTATGAATATTTTTGTACATGTGAGTCCTTTTCCTGTTTTTTAATGATCTCTTTGGGATATAGCCCTAGAAGTGGCATGCACATTTTTATAGCCATTTGGGCATAGTTCCAAATTGCTCTCCAGAATGGTTGGATCAGTTCACAACTCCACCAACAATGCATTGGTGTTAAAAAGGAATGAAATTTCAGACACAAAGGGAAATAATTGTGATGAGGGTGAGAATGAGGTTAAATAAAATCTGACGTTGATTAAATTTCAACTGGGTTCAAGGCACCACATCATGATAGGCCCTAAGAATATAATGGAATGAGAAGGTCAAAACAACAGAGCTTCTGCCCTCAAGGAGTTTACATTCTACAGCAGCATGTAGCACCTGCACCAATAAGTCAGCATAAGACAACCTGAGAGTACAGGCCTAACATTTAGGGGCCCAGGAAAGCTTCCTGAAGAAGGTGATGCCTGAGCTGAGCTGAGCTGAGCTGTGAAGTGAGAATTCTGAGAGGTAGGAAAAGAGAGATGCCTGCTCCAGGCAAGGGGTGCCCTGCATAGGTAACCTGCAAATGCATTGAGGTGAGATAAGGAGTGTGGAGCTTGGGAACAAGTAAGAAGGTCAATGTGTTTGAGTTATTAACAGGGTGAAGGAGAGTTAGAGCATGAGCTTAATTGGGGGGAGAGCCTGTAGGAGGAAGGGGCAGTGATGACACCGTCAGCTTGACACTGTCAAGATGAAGGAGTGGGAAAAAAGCCAATAGAAAGAGATCTTGACAACCTTTGGGAAGACTAAAGTCAGAAGCTGGGTTTTGAGGGATTCAGAAGAAAGTGAGCAGTTAGAAAGTGGATAAGACAAGTGTAGACAATTCTAGAAGTTGGGTGGTCAAAGCAAAGGAGATAAAACTATGGTTGGAAGGGATGATGGGCTGGGCTTTGAGAAGGGGAAGAAAGGGGAACATGTATGAAGCACCTACTATGTGCCAGGCACATATGCAGCACTATGTAAAGTGCTTTACAACCGTCTCATGTATCTCATTTGATGGGCCAATGGTTCAAGACACTTAATGTCTCGGTGCAAGATTTAAGAATTGGAAGAGTTGTCCTAGTGAAGAGGGATCGGCCTCGTTCTTGGCCCCAGGAGGCAGAAGGAGGAGTGAGAGGAAGCTGCAGGGGCCAATTTCGGCTAACTAGAAAAGAAGTGCTTCCCACCAATCAGAGATAGCTAAAAGTAGATTGAGCGGCTTTGTGACGTAGTGAGCTCTCTGTTGCTGGAGTTATTGAAGAAGAGATTGGCTGACTGACCACCTGTCAAAGGGGCTGTAGAGGGGATTCCTGCACCAAGCCCAAGGCTGGCCTGGCTGAGGTACCTTCCAGCTGTGCACAGTGGGGCTTTCGCAACTGCCTCCCACCCACGACCTGGTTGGTTTGGGACCACAGGAAGTGATGGGGAATTCATGCCAGATGCTGCTTCCTGGCACCTTGATTATCCAAGGGCACAAGTCCCAAATGATGTTATGACTGTTAGGGAAAGGAAATGGCTATGGCCAGGGGCCACTGACCCTTGGGGATGATGCCAAGCTATACCACAGGGTGGGCATTGTCTATTTCCACCCTTCCAGAAATCCAGAGCAAGCGTCAGGAAAGGAAGAGGAGAAGTACAGCGAACCCAGCATACAGTGGCCTCCTGGAGACCGAGGTGAGTGTCTCTGCAGGAGGCACAGGGATATGGCAGCCAGGGGAGAGCTTGCGTCCAGGGAGGACCCTGGCAGTGCCCTAGAAATAGCCCAGCCCTGAGAGTCACGAGGCCTGGGTTCCAATCCTCTCCCTGTCCCCACATCCTGCTGTCTCTCCAGTCTGGTAGTGTGTCGGGCCAAGGGCATGCTCCATCTTTGTCCTCCCTGCAGTTCCTCATGGTGAAGCCTGACTGGACTGGACAGGACACTGGGTTTGAAACCCACCTCTGATACTACGAGGCCTGTCACCCTAGGCAAGTAATTTAACAATGTAATGCCCAGTTTCCCCATCTGTAACAATAGCACCAACCTCCCAGAGCTGCTTCTGGGCTCGAATGAGATCACAAGAGCCCAGCTCTAGAGCTGAAAGGGATGGCAGAGGATATTGAGTTCCATCCCCTCATTTTACAGAGGAAGAAATGGAAACATTAGCAGTTAAATGACTTGCCCAAAGTCACACACTACTAAGGGGAGTGCCAGGTGGGATCTGAACCCAGGCCCTCTGACCCCAGAGCCAGGCTCACCCCACTGTAGCAGGCACAATGGGAGCTGCTATCATCCAGCCAGTGGATGGTTTGGCTTTACTCAGGACTTTGCCATCTCTGGCTGCTGAGGCTGGGGGTGCTTGGCAAAATCGGGGGGGTACTTCTTGAAAATCTGTCTCTTTGTGGATTGTCCAGAGCCCAAACTCTGATCCCTTGGTTTGCCCAAACCCTTTGCCAGCCAAGATTTTTCTTCATTCTCTCCACAGCAAGTGGGGAGGGAGGAGGGGGGGGCTAAACTTATTTCTGGAGCAGTAGGAAGAGCCCCCAGTTTAGGAGCTGGACATGAATCATGGCAGCATGCTCCCTGGGTGCCTCTCAGTGAGTGGGAGGCATTGAGCCAGGTGAAGAGTGGGGAAACAGGGAAGAACTTAGGAAGGGGCAGCTCTTGGGGTAGCCAAGGGTACTCATGCAGGCCTTCTCATCTCTGCAGCGGAAACGCCTGGCATCCAACTGTCTAAACAGCCCTTTGTTCCTGTCAACAAGAGGTAGGTGCCTTGACTCCTGGTCCCTGCTTGCTTGAAGGGAGGGCCCCTGTGGAGGCCTGTGCTCTGGTCAGAGTGGACAGCTCCCCTGGACCACCGCAAGAATTTGAGAAAGTCACTGGGGACCTCCTGCTCCTGCTCTCTCCCCTACTTCTCCTCTTCTCACCATCTCCCACTGCCACGCACATGTCCTGACTTTCTTACAGTTGCTCTTTAAAGTGTCATTTCCATGAACTAGGCATGATTCTTGCATTGCTTTCCCTACCAGCCTTGTCCCCAGCCCTATCAGTACAACAGACCAGATAATGTATGGAGGGAGAAGGAAGGCTCGGGGCGGACCCTGTAGTACTGTGAAATCGTGCCCACACTGCAGAAGGACCTCGAGAGATGAATTTACACTGGCCTTGTTTTGTTCCCGGGTTTTGAACTGGTCACTGCAAAGGGGTCCGATTCCTGCTCTGTTACCTTGTGACATCAGTCAAATCACTGCCCTCTTTGGGCCTCAGTTTCCCTATCATTAGATAAAAGGTAGGTAGGTGCTGAGTTTAGGGTTCCTGCCAGCTTTGTCATTCAGTAGTTCAGTGAGGACCAAGAACCCTTGGCTTAAGGTGGCCCGTGCAACCATCAGGTTAGTCTCATTCCAGAGGGGTAGCCCCTAATCCTGGCCACCTTCAGGCCAGGCCAGCAGTCCCTGGAATGTCTCCCACATCTGCTGTGATGCCTCTGAACCATTGCTTCTCACCTGGGCCCAGAGCCGAGGCAGATATGCTCTCTCCCCTGCCTTCCCCTCCCTGCTCAGGACTTGGTTGCCCTCCCATGGTCTTACCTCCAGAGAATTCCAGCCCACTAACTTCTTCATTCTCCACTAACTGTTCTCTGCCCTTCTTCCACGCATTAGCAAATGAGGAGCCCTGCTGGAAGGTATGTGTTACCCAATATGAATCGCCCTTGTGTGTGTGAGTTTGAAAACATGTGTGAGTGTGGAAATGTGTGTGAGTACATGGGTGCATGAGTGAGTGTGTGAGTGACTATGTGTGTGTGTGACCATGAGTGTAAGTATATATGTGCATGTGTGTGTGTGTAAGCGTGTATAAGTGTGAGTGTGTGCATGTGTGAGTGTATATGTGAGTGTATGTGAGTGTATGTGTAAGAGTGAGTGTGTGTGTAAGTGTCTGTGTGTCTGCAAGGGTGTACTTTGGGGGCTTGGCATTTGGAAGCCAGGCTGCCGCCATCTGGTGGGGGGCAGGAATCCATTAGCATTCAGCCTTGATTAATGGGAACGTTCAGGGAGTTGGGGAGAGGCTGGGCGTCAGCCCTAGGAGGGTCCATGTGTGGAAGCCGGGTGGCCTCTTAGAGTGGAGGTGCCTTCTGCCTCAGATTCTGAGGTTCTGCTTTCATGTCCATGTATTGTATTTCTGCTGAGTGGTGGAGAAAGCAGGAAACCCTTTGTCCTTTCAAGTCTCTCTGGAATGCCTGTGCCCATTCCCCTGCCTCAGTAGGGAGACAGGCAGGACCAAGGCGGAGCTCCCCTATAATTCTGGGGACCTTTCAAGGCCTTGGGCTCTGCATCCCAGGCTCCAGGTTGATTGGCAGGTGAAGTCCTGGGGAATCAGTAATGGAGGGGGAGGGAGCCCAAGCTCCTGACCGTGGCCCTGCCACTGGCTGGCTTTGACCTTGGACAAGTCCCTTGGGTTTGGAGCCATAACTTCCTCCTCTGTTAAGCGGAGGAGCTCTCCTGGATGGTCTCAGTGCCAGTTGGTCAACAGAGGCCACAGGAGGATCTTGGCCCCTGCTGCAGGGTACTTGCAGGTTTCAAGCCCTTACCTCTCACAGGCCAGCAGCTGAAGTCTGGGAATCCAAACTCTGCCACCTCCTGGCCTGGGGCGGCCGCTCCTCCTCGTGGGCTCAGATGGTCCTTAAGGACCTTTCCGGCTCAATCCTAGGATCCCAGCCCTGTTAGGCCCATCGTACGGAAGTGGACGTTGAGGCCTAGGGAAGAAATGTGACTTGCCCAGGGTCATCCCGGCAAGTAAGTGTCAGAGCTTTTGCCTCTGCACGGAGAGGAGAAGGGACTTCCCAGCTCCAACCACTGCAAAGCGCGGAGCACATTCTTACTCCGGGTGGGCCTGCAACCCTTTCAGAGAAACTGAGAAAGAGGGGGACGGCACAGATGAGGAAACTGAGGCTTGCAGGGGTGAGGCCAGCCCTGCCCTTCCTGACGGGACTCCTCTGGGCCTTGGTGTCTCCCATCTGAGCATCCACCATCACAGGCCTGTGAGGGGCAGACCTTCCCTTAGGGCGACCTCCCTCGCAACTGGGCCGGGGCAGGACTCCTTTCCATCTGGCCCCTCATGGCCTCAGGAAACACAGAAGCCTGGCAGCTCCTCCAGCCACCGCCTCCAGCCTCACCCCTTCTTCCTCTGTCTTTCAGAATGAGATCTCCCATGAGGAGGTGTGTGTGATATGTAAGAGAGGCACCACCTTGCAGCCCTGCGGCACCTGCCCGCGGGCCTACCACCTCAGCTGCCTCGACCCCCCACTCAAAGCCACACCCAAGGGTGTCTGGGTGTGTCCCAAGTGCCAAGAGAAGGTAGGGCCAGCCAGGGGCAGGGGGAGGGGAATGTGCCTAGGCAGAGGTGGGGGGGGACAGTTGGGGAGGGAGGCAGGGAAGGCCTCTTTCTCCGAGTGGTTCTAGGCCACGCTGTGTCCAGGGGTGAGCATCCGGTGGCTGCAGGGTGGCCAGCAGAGAAGGTGGCCAGGAGCAGGGTCACTGGGCCAACGGGTCCTGGAAACCCTGGTGGGGAGGGTGGTGCCCCGGCACCAGAGGGCAGAGTCCAGGCAGCTTTCCAGGGACGGAGACTTAGGCTAGCCTTCCCTGGCTCGTTACAGAGGACTCCCCTCCGTGCATTCTGGGCACCAGCCCGACTGGCCTACTGGCTATTTCCAGGACGCAGTATCCTCTCCCATCTCCAGGCCTTTGCCCAGGACGCTCTGCATGCCAGGAACACCCTCCCTCCCTCCTCACTTCCCTCTCTTGGCTCAGCTCAGGGCCCCGCTCCTGCATGAGGCCTCCCAGGACAGTCACTGTCCTTATGTTGCCTCTGCTGTTTCTGCTTCTCTCTCAGTGAGTCTATGACACATGAGAATGCCAGCCCCTTGAAGGCTGGGCTGGTTTTACTTTTTTTCTTTGTACCCCTGGCATGGGGTCTTCCTGGCACCAGTAGGTACTGAGTGTGCATGAAAGCTCACCAACGCCAGAGCTGCCGAGTGGCAGAACGGGAGTCCCTTCCCCACACACCAAGCCTCTGCCTCCCTGGAGCATTGGGGGAGGCCTGCCCCTTTAGTGACATGGGGAGGGGGAGCAGAGACAAGCTTGGCATGGACCACACAAGGCTCCAGCCCCTGAGGCATCTTCCCTCGCTGCCACAGGCCTTGTTCTTGGGGCCAGTGGCACCCTCCTGCTCCTCCGTACTGCACTCCTTCAGTGGCTGGCAGAGCTGCCCAGCACTATCAGACCAGCAAATAGCCCAGACCAGTAACCGGTCAAAGGGTATCTCGGCTGGCAAGGACCTCAGAGACGTGCCATCAGCCTGAACAGAAATCCACTCTCTTGCATTCCTCATAAGCGGTCATCCGGTCTCTTCTTGAATACCTCTGTGGATGGGAAACTCACTACCTATCCAGGCAGCCACTTTCACTTTCAGGCAGCTCTGATTGTCCAAAAAGTTTTTCCTTGGGTTGAGCCAGACTGTTCCCTGGGCCTCGATCTGCCCTCTGGGGTCAAGATGAGCACGGCCGATCCCCGTGCCAAATAACAACTGCTCTTCATATACCCCATGACAGCTGTCACGTCCCCCTCCCACCTTCCCCAGGCATTCTCTTCACTGACCTGAACAGAGGACCCAGACCCTGCACTGTGGCCACATCCAGGCCTCCTCCTTGTGTGGCCTCCTTCCTCTGGGTGCTGTCCAGCTTGGTAACGGCCTCTTCAGTGAAGGCCAGGCTGCCCAGGCCTGGCTCGGGGCTAGTCCATTGCCCAAGGATCTGGCTCTCACCACCAGCCTCATCTGGGCCCATTCTGTGAGCTGCCCCAAACTCCTGGGCCGGGGAAGGCGGATTCTGGGTGCTGCCCCAGTGGCTGCCCTGCTCAGGCCTCAGCTCCTTGTGTCCCGGGCTGCCAGCTCCTCACGTCTGCTCCCTCCCCTCTTTCTTCCAGGTGTTGAACAAAGATGAAAATGTGCCCTGGACGGGGATGTTAGCCATTGTTCACTCCTACGTCACTCACAAAACAGGTAGGGGCCTGGCTGGATGTGACTGAGCCACGGTCAGAGAGAAGGGGTGAGCGCTGCCAGGTCTGGGGGCTGCCTGGTCCCTGCCTCCTGCCTCAGTGCTCCCCCCAAGTGTCCCCAAGGTCCGGGCCCCTCTGCCGGGGGTGCAGGCAGGGAGCTAGCCCTGGAATAGTGAGGACCGGACTAATGGTCTGTTGGGTCACAGCCCCCAGACCCGGCAGGGGCCTCAGGGGCCCTCAGGGCTCCTGGGAAGGGGAAGGAGCCTTCAGGAGCTCTTGGGGCAGAGCTGGGAGTCCTGTGCAGAGCTCCCTCCTTGCCTGGAGCACTGTACTGCCTGCTCCTCATAGGACCGAGGAGGCACTGAGGCCCACACGTCCGCCTCAGGAGCCCTGACTCCCATCCCAGGCTCCCTCTACATCTCTGACTTTGCCCTCCCCTGGAAGGATTCATGGTAATCTGGTCGTGGGTGGCCCCATATTACAGGGCAGAAGACTGACTCTCATGGCTAGTAAGGGGGTGGCAGGGCTGAGATTCAAACCCAGGACTTTTTGTCCCAGCCTGGGCCAGAGGTGCTGGAGGGAAGGGCCACAGGGCCTCAGTTTCCCCCTCCTTGTACCAAATAGCCTCTGAGGCCAGTTGAGGCCAGTGATCTGATCCCATCAGTTAGCATTTAGGGACAGAAGGATTAGGGGAGGGCCAACTTCCCCCCCATTTTACAGGGGAGGAAACTGAGGTTCAGAGAGATGGAAGACTATTCCTGCAGACACACAGCTAGGGTTCTGTGCCTTCAACAGCCCTGCTCTAGTTGTTTAGGGGCCAGGGCTGGGGGAGCGGGAGCTTCTCCCAAAGGGCACTGCCCCATTCCCATGACTTGGGACCAGCGAGGCCAGGATGGCAAAATATGTCCTGCCAGCCTGCCCTCCTTCCTGAGCCTGTGCCTGACCCTGGGAGAGCTGGGGGCTTCTTGTCTCCTAGTCAAAGAAGAGGAGAAGAGAAAGCTCCTGAAAAGGAGCAGTGAGCTGAAGAGTGAGCACAGACAGCTGGAACAGAAGGATCGGCTCCTGAACACGGCCGTGAAGGTGAGCCCTTAGCTGGGTGCAGGGTGGCTGGGCAGTGTGCCCCGGGCCAGACCGGTCCTGCCTCATCAAATCCAGGCCAGCCCTGCCCAGTCTAGGCCAGCCCAGCTCAGTCCAGCTCAGACCAGCTCAGGTCAGACCAGCCCAGTCCTGCCCAGACCAGCCCTTCCCAGGCCAGCTCTGACCAGGCCAGCCCTGCCCAGTCTAGGCCAACCCAGCTCAGCCCTGCTCAGAGCAGCTCAGCCCTGCTCAGACCAGCCAGCGCAGGCCAGCTCAGCTCAGCTCAGCCTACACCAGGCCAGGCCAGCCCTGCCTCATCAAATCCAGGCCAGGCGTGCCCTGCCCACCCAGCTCAACCCAGCTTAGCCTGGCCCAGACCAGCTTAGCTCAGCCTAGGCTGGCCCAGCTTTGCCTCACAACCCCAGCCAAGGCCAGGCTCTTACTCCTACTGGTGGACACTAGCCAGAGGGGATGCCATTTGGAAAACTTGGGCTCTCTCTTCAACACTCATCCATTTAGCAAGCACATGTGACATTCCTGTGTATGGTGCTAGAGGAGACAGAAGGTTTAAGTATCACGTGCTCCTTGACCTCGGGGACTTCTCTGCCTAATTAGGGTGTTTATTACAGATACAAGTAAGGAGTCATTCACCCCACATTGATTGAGCACCTACTGTGTACAGAGCACTACTTGGGGCAGACCCAAAGTTTAGCCAAGACAGGCTCATGATGCAGGAAACATTTCCAAAGATGGAGGTAGAGGGTTGGCTATAGACACTGAGGTGCCTGGAACATTGCTGCTGATGGCAGGAGCTTTTTTCTTGACTTTTCCATTAAGCCTCCAGTCCACTAAGACATCTGAGATCTTCTTCCCAGGAAATGCCATCAAGCCCGGTCCCCTGTCCCATACCTGGGCAAGTGCTGGACTTTCCATCTGGCACAGTGAAAGCCTGCCCTGTGGGCTGATCTGCATACAAGCTGAATCTATCTGAATCAGTCTCCCCACCCTGCCGGTCTGTCGAGGTCATTGCTAGCCTTCTCCTGACCTCGGCGTGTCAGGGCACACCTGCCCTGCTTCTGAATCCTGAAAATGGTTTAATGGTCTTGTTCCTAGCACTCCTTCAGGTTTACAAAAGGCTTTCCCTACAGTAATGGAGGGCGGGTATCATATGAAAATTAGTCTCTGTTCCACTGATGAGGAAATTGGGGCCCAGGTTGGTTAACTGACTTGCCCAGGTAGGAACACACACATCACAAGTAAACAGTGGAGCAAGACCCCAAACTTTGATCCCCCTCCCCTCCTGCAGTCCTTTCTAGGGTGTTTGTGGGTAGGTGGGGGCTGGCTCTGCTAGTGTCCAGACCATAATTCCCACCAGTGTCTCCTTGCCTTCAGATGAGGGAAGATCTCCAAGATCCATCCCACAGGGGCTAGGCTGGGGGCGCGGCAGAAGGGCGCTGAGTAGGGTGACATCTTCATCCTCTCTCTGCTCCCTCCGGACAGAAATGCCTGGAGCTCAAGACCAGCCTGCTTACCCAGCGGAAGGGAGCCCAGTCATCCCTGGAGCGACTCCGGGCTCTCCTCCGTCTCATACAGAATGAGCAGATGCTTCAGGTCACCATGACCACCACCGCCGCTGCCTCTGCCTCCTCGCTGCTGGCGGTGCCTTGGATCAAGCCAGCTGCCACCTCCGCCACCATGGCCATGCACACAGCCCTCCAGCAGGCCCAGGGGAACAAGTGAGGCCCAGCAAGGAGTGGACCCCACGGGGTGAGGGGCACTGGGGTTGGGCACCGGGGAGCCTTCACAGACCCCCCCCCCAGTCCATGTCCCCCTTCTAAGGGGCCAGCTTCTTGGTGCACCTCTGGTCACCCAGGTCACACTGCCCACTGGTCAAGATGTGCTGATGAATTTCAGATGAAGAAAGAGATGAAGGAAAGAAGGGAGGGAAGGTGGATGAGGGGCAAGAGAGAAAGGAGAAGAAAAGGAGTGAAAGCAAGAGGGATGAAGGGAAGGAAGGAGTAGACACCAGGAAAGTAGAGAGTGTGGGAGGGAAGAAGGGATAGTCCTCTGCTGGGATGAGCAGACATCTGGACGAGTTTGGCCGGGAGGGGAGAATTTAAAGTACAAGACTTAGTTGATAATTAGCAAGGTTAAGGGTAGGTTTTAGAGCCATGGGGAAAGGGAAGCTGGGCAGCTGGGGCCCATTGCCAGGGAGTCATGCTCCTTGACTCAGGGTGGTCATGGGAGGGCATTGAGGCTGGTAGGGATTCTGGTTTGGACACCAGCAGAGCTCCCCCCTCCACACACACAGTGAGCTTTCTATAAGGATTCTGCTCGAGAGAACAGGTCTTTACTCCGAAGGCAAGCGGAAGCCTGCCCCCTCCCCCCACACACAGTTAGCCTTTCTAGTGGAATACTGAGAGCTCTCTGGGAGAACCTTCCAAAGCGCTGAGCCAGCTTTGATGGTTAACCCTTCACTTTTGCAGGTCCCTTTGACTTCTTTTGCTATTGATGTATTTTTCTCCTGGCGTTTGGGGGCGTGATGGAGCATAGACCGGACATTGGAGCTTTTCGGCAGGATTGGGGCTTTCAGTCATTTGACTTTGGGGTTGGAGCCTTAGTGGGGAGGGGGTTGTTGTTGTTTTTCCTTTGAAAGAGCCAAGAAATATTCCATTTTTTCCGTTTCTTGCCAGTATGGACACTATGCCAAAAAATACTTTTACATTTTTGTACTGTGTTTTTATTGCAAAGATATTTAATGTGAAGGAAAAAAAAATCGCTGCTCTTTCCCTGCAGGGCCATGGCTGCACTGGCCCAGGACAAAGGTTGGCCTGCCTCTGGGGGAGAGAGGCGATCCCATTGAAGGGATCCAGAGACTCTTTCTAAGGTTGGGGGGGTGGGGCGGATCAAGGAGGAGGAAGAAGAGGAGGACTGGGTTGGGACGTTTCAAGGGTCTGCAAGCCCTGAGTCCTTTGGCCATTAAACATCATAGTGGCAAGAGTATTCACGAGAAAACCCTCAAGCCTCTGGAAGTTTCACAAGCAAGTACTCCTGAGAGTCCGAGGATCAGCCCCGGGGCCTCCTGAGGCTGACGTTGGAGATGGACCTGGGGCTCACCAGCTTCTGCCTGGCTGTCGCCAATCCTTGTCATGTCCACCCACTCAGATGTTCCACGTGGCCTCTGGACGGGTCTCGGGACAAGGGTCTGCCACATCCGAAGATCCCACGGTGCCATATCCCATGAGCAGCTCCCAGGCTACTCTAGCCAGGGGGCTTGGGCTTCATTAACCGCCAGCAGAAGACAGCCCATGGGCCCTGCAGCCATTTTCACCATTCCGGGAGAAACTGTGCAGAACGTATGATACAGATCTATTTTGATACACTTAACACTGGGTTGAACAAGATTTTTATATTCTTTTATTGACGAACAAAGTGGATTAAAGAAATGCCATCATTATTGTTGGTGACTGTACGCCAATATTTATATGCATCACAAGGGGGCTTGCAGCAGGAGCTTGGGTTCCGGTTTCATGTTCTTTTCTTTCTTCTCGGGGTGGATCCGATGGGAACACTAGAAGGCGGGCCACAGGTGGCTGCGTCCTGGGCTTTGGCTTGGTTTTGCGAAAGGGGACTGTCCTGTGGATAGTATGCATAGAGGAAAAAAAGTGTTTGTCTTAAATATGCTTCTGTAGTTTTAATTCTTTATGATGCATTAAACTTGATTGACAATTTCAGAGGCTCCTGGTGGTTTCTGGCTCTTCCAGCCATGGCATCGTGGAGGAGGGCATGGCCGAGCCAGCCCCAGGGAAGGAGGAGAGAGGAAGCAGGAAGGAGAGGGAGAGCTGAAATAGGATCATGGGTCCGTCTTTCTGGGTGCCGATGCTCTTAGGAGGCAGGACAGCTGAGTGGCGGCACAGGAAGGTAGCAGGCACTCCCAGCAGCCTCAAGAAAGGCTTGCACTTTGCTTCCTATGAAGCCGTCTGAGGCATGAGCAGGGAGAGCCTGGCTCCCAAGCAGCCACAGTCAGCTCTATTCACAGGATGGATGCATGGGGCACAAGAAAGCCAGGAGAGCTCTGAGGAGGTTTCCCCTGGGTGCCCCTGGGAGCCTTGGGTGCCAGATTGTGCTGGGAAGCCACCCAAGATGCGAGGCACAAACATGCCCTAAGAGCCTGGCCAACTATGACTTATTGCCAAGGTCTGCATCCTTGACACTGCCTGATTCTACCTCTATTCATAAAAGCTCAGGCCCACAGAGCTGAAAGAGACATCAGGCACCATTCTGCCCGCCCCCGCCCTGATCCGACATCCCTTCACCCTGTGAGGAAGAGCGACTCCTCTCCCCAGGCCCCAAGACACAATAATCAGTGAAGACCACAGCTAACATGTAGGCAGCACCTACTATGTGCCAGGTACTGTGTTGGCTCTTGACAGGTTCTCCTCTGGTCCTCATAACCCTGGGAAGCAAGTTTACTCGCCTGGTACAGATCTCAGGCTAGATTTGAACTCTGCTCTTCCTGGCTCCGGGCCTGGTACCTATCCCCCGGGCCACGTAGCTGCCCCTTGCTTTAAGTCAGGAAAGGAAGGGTATGTCTTGAAATGACTGATGCCGGGCAGCTCGATGTGACGGGGCAGTGAGGTGGCGCAGTGGATAGAGCACCAGCCTTGGAGTCAGGAGGACCTGAGTTCAAATCCAGCCTCAGACACATAGCACTTACTAGCTGTGTGACCCTGGGCGAGTGACTTAACCCCACTGCCTAGCCAAAAAAACCCCCCCAAAACCCCAAAACAAACAAACAAACCAGGATTGATGTTAGATAAAATGGAAGGAGGTAATCGGCTGACCTCTGTTTAGGGTCTATGATGCTGATTTGGCCTCCAGGGAGCCTCAGAAAGGAAAGGCTGGTGCCCACTCAGCACCTCGCAGGAGCTGGGGCCACTGGGATGCCTGGCAGGCCCTGTCCTGGGACCTGCTGGATCACAGGAGCAGCAGCAGCTGAGTTGAGCTCCGGGGCCTCCCTGAGCCTTGGCACTTTGTGGGTCTGGGTTCCCACGTCAGCCTGAGGCAGTGCCCGCTCAGCCCAGAGCCAGAAGGCTGCCATGTTCTCTCCTGGAGAAGGGTCGTCAGGGACCTTTGGAGGTCTGGTATAAGGTCCCCCTAAGGAATGGGCCGGGGAGCATCAGACTATGTGCCTGGAGGTCTGGGTTCTGAGCCTGAGCCCTGCTGACAGCCAGCTGTGGAGCCTGACCTTCAGGGGGGCCCATTCCCTCCCTTTGGGGCTAGCTCTGACTAGCAGAGGAGCTTCCCACACCCCTCTGAAATCTGCCTGTGACTCCCCTCAGTTGCTACCAGTTCTGCCCTCTGAGGCCAAGCTGAGCAGTGGACAATCCTTGAGGCGCTGGAGGGCAGCCTTTGGGCACAGGTGCCCTCTGTGAGCCCTTTGCAGGTTCTCTGATAGACTCAGTCCTGGAAGGGCCTCCTATCCCCTAGGCAGGCTAGTACAGTGGGGAGGGTGCAGGGCTCAGAGTCAGAGCACCTGGGCTCAGATGCAGGGTTTGCCGTTCAGGAGCTGGGTGGCCTTAGGCAGGGCGAGACAAATAGCAAATGCGAAGCTCCTTAGCTCATGTGGCCTTGGGGAGTCAGTGCTGTTATTATCACCCCTCATTATTCAGGAGAGGAAGCTGAGGCAGACAGAAGTGAAGTGACTTGCCCAAGGTCAAACAGCTAGGAAGTGTCTGAGGCAGGACTTGAACTCAGGTCTATCCTGACTCCAGGCCCAGCATTCTGGCTGCTGTCTACAAGTGGTCCAAGGGTCTGGTGCTTTCAGCAGCCATTTTCAGACCAAACTGTGGGTGGTGTTTGTGCCTTTTCTTTCCTGGTGGCTGGAGCCCGCAGGGTAGCCTGTGTCCAGGTCACTGCTTCTCCTCCTGGCTTCCCTGTCATCCCCCGGCAACCCTGCCATCCTGGGGCTTGCTGTCTGACCTCTCTCTATGGACTAACCAAGTCTTCCAGGCATTCCCATTTCAACCCTCATCTCCTTCCCCATCCCAGTCACTAGGAAGAGGTTGGACCCATTTTCCAACTCTGCTCTGCACTGGTTGTGTGACCTTGGGAAGGTCCCTTCCCCTCTCACTTTCTTCCACTGTAAGATGAGGGGATTGGACAAGGGCATGCCAGAGGCCTGGGACGCCAGACATTCCCTGCCCTCTTTCCTAAGTCTGGCTTGTCATCTCTCCTGTTCACCTGGTGACTGTCCTACCCGAAAGCCTGGCTCCTGTTAGCTTAGAGCGTGGGACATTCTGAGCAGCTCCAGGATCTGACGGGCAGCTTGGGGACCCAGCCTGCTCAGCCCGTTGGACGTTGTCTGGTTGCTGACCTCCAGCAGAGCTGGGCGGCGGATGCACCGGCCATCATCGGCCCATTTCTGTGATTTCGCCTCCCGCTGCTCTGAAATGATTCTGTTGCTTTCTTAAGTGCAGTTTTGTGAGCAGTTAGCCATGCTGGGGTAGACTCATCTTGCTGGTCCTGGGGTTCCTGGGCCCCACACGTTGGAAGGAGCCTGGCCAGGGAGGGAAGCCTGGATTCCCGTAGTGTTCCTGGGTCCTACTTTGTGACTTCATAAAAAGAGGAGGTTGGGGGTTCTCATCTTCTGTGCGCTCCCCCTCTGGGCAGCCACTTATCCACTCTCAGTGAGGGCGGTTGGATTTGGTGGCCCCAAGGGCCCTTCCAACTCGGACGTGCTGGGTTAGTTCTGTCCTAGCTTCTTGCTTGGGGAATGATCTTCCTGTCTGGGCCTCCATCGCCTCCTGTGGTGTTTGTAGTGACCTCTCTGGGCCTCAGTTTCTTTGTCTGTAAAATGAGGGGGCTGTCCGGGCTGAGCCCAATCCAGTGGCCTTTTCTCCATCTTCATTCTCCTTGACCTCTGTGCAGCCTTGGACTCTGGATCAGTCTCTACCCCCAGCTTTTCCCGGCATTCTCTTTCCTGGTTCTCTTCCTCTCTACCTGACCACTCCTTCTCTATCTCCCTACTGGATAATCATCCGGATCATGCCTTCAAACTGTGGGTATCTGGGAGGACTCTCCCAGGCCCTTTTCTCTCCTCCCTCTGCACTACTTCATTTGGTGATTCCATCAGCTCCAATGGGACTCGATGATTAACCCTGCCCTGATGAGTCTCAAAGCTACCAATCCCACCCTGATCTCTCTGCTGACCTCCACTTATCAAAGCAGATGTCCTGTAGTCCTGTAGTCCAAACCAGCTGGTTATTCTTTCTTCCAAACCACATGCTCTTCCTCCCTTCCCTATTCCGGGGGAGGGCATCACCATCCTCCCAGGATGCCCCCAGGGGCCTGGCTCCCTCCTGGCTCCCTCTCACCTTTCACATCCAGTCAGTTGCCGAGTTCTGACCTTTCTACCTTCATGACGTCTCTGCTGTAGGCCCCCTTCTCTCCTCTCACTGCCGGCCCTGGCGAAGGCCCTCCTCACTTCATGCCCAGACTATCACAGACTATTTCCTGCTGGTGGCTCTCTGCCTCATCTCTTCCCACTCAACAGTCATCAAATTAATACACCCAAAGAAGAGTCCACCAGCTAGCATTTATTAGACATCCACTATGTGCCGAAGGCTAGAGATGCAAAGAAAGGCATAAAACAAGCAGCCCCAGCCTGTCCCAGGAGCCACCAGTCTATTTGGGGAGGGAACATGGAATAATTGTGTACAAGAAAGATATGTATGGAATA